GGCTAGCCCGTCAGGCCTGGGGATAAACTCTTCTGCCCCTTCCTTCTCTACTTCCTTCCTTCCTCCTCTCCATCCCCTTCTCCCTTCCCTTACCTCTCCCCTACTCCTACCCTTTTTCTTCTCCTTACTACCTTCTCTTCTACTCTTTCTTTCTCTTCCTCCCTCCTCTTCTTCTTTTTCTCTAGGTATTCCTATATAAATGTCTATGTATTCTTTCTTTTTCTAGGATTGTAGAGAAAATTCATTTTTTATGTTGCTTCATTAAAAAAAAAACTGCTTTGAATGTTATATTTTGTGTTCCAGATAAGGGTGAACATTTTCTATTGCCTTTTCTTAACTACAAATGGTTATTATTTTCCTGTAGTATTGACTGCAATATTCCTCCTATAACCATTTATAGAATTTGAGAGTTTTTTCATTCAACTAAATCAGGGAGGCAAAATAGTTACAATAGCAGGCTAATGATTATATAAACCTGCACTTCTTAACATGGGAACTAGCACAATAAGTTTCACACGTCATTTGATTTCTTTTATAAAATAAGCATCCATTTCGATACTGTGTTTTATTCGACAGGTTACCTTGTTAATGTGATCTGGAACATATCATAGCCCGCAATGAATGATGCCAGTTTTGTCAAGATTTGCTTTCCAGATCCCCCAACTCCAACAAGTAGGGCATTTCCTCGGGGAGTGCGGATCACACGAGAGATCTACAAATCACAGCACCATTTTGTCGGTTGCATATTTAGAATAACACAAGATTAAGCAGATACTTGATAGATCCCTGCATTGCACCACATCTTTAATATTTGGTGGTGCAATGGTGATCCCAGTCTTTGCACGGATCATTCCATAAACTCTTTCCCAACAATATAAGCTCCAGGTTTGGCCACAGACAATTTGCTTTCTACAGTGGTGGGATTCAAATAATTTAACAACCGGTTCTCTGCCCTAATGACCATCTGGGTAAGTGGGGCTCAGTGGTCATGTGACTGGGGGGGCTTAGCCAATTCAAGGTCACTCAGGTCGATGGGCGCTTCGCCTTAGCTGTTACAATGTAATAAGGGTTAACCNATCGTTCCAGAGGGCCGGAGCAGCCACAGAGAAGGCCCTCTTCCGGGTGGTCGACAGTCGACACTGGCTGGCGGATGGAATTCGGAGAAGGCCTAATCTGTGGGATCTAATGGGTCTATGGGAGGTAATTGGCAGGAGGCGGTCTCTCAAGTACCCAGGTCCAATATCATGTAGGGCTTTATAAGTGACGACTAGCACCTTGAAGCGTATCCGGAGACCAATAGGCAGCCAGTGCAGCTCGCGGAGGATAGGTGTAACGTGGGTGTACCAAGGCGCACCCACAATCGCTCGTGCAGCTGCATTCTGGACAAGCTGAAGTCTCCGAACACTCTTCAAGGGCTGCCCCATGTAGAGCGAGTTATTCAAGCGTGCGAGAAAATTGGTTTTCTGGTCATTTGGGAAGATAATTCAGCTATCTAGCTTCTGAAATATTCTAATAATTTATGTATTTATTTAAAATTTATTTAAATAAAGTTCTCCAATTCCCAGCAATGAATTAGGGTGGTATACAAAAATTAAGACCACCATAACAGTATATAATCTATGCTGCCCTGATGTCAGCTCTTCAAGGTAGACCAAACTTAGAAAGCAAAGTCAGGCATGCTAATACTGCTGTTATTATATGGCTATAATAACAACATTTTGCAGGTCTGCGTGTCTTTCCTCTCCTCTTGTTGTAAGCAACAGAGAGGGTTTCATCTGAGATGTTTTCTCAAGTTGCAATTCTGGCTCGGAATCAGATTTCTTTTATCTAACTTTTATCTTAGTTGTGGCTGTTCTTCTGGTCCATCGAGGTTATTCCTTCTTCCCATTTATCTAGTTAAAGCAACAACCTACCCATCCTGAACAAAAAGTGAAAAAACCAAGAAAGCTCATCTAACTTGCCCAAATCCCAGGGGGAAAGGCCAGGTTTTTAGAACCTTACAAAAGTCTCAAAAGACTATTAGGATTGGGGCCATCTGGACCTTGGTCAAATGTCTATCTTAATGTGAGGTCTGGATTCATGATAGACCTATTTTATATGTCTTTTGTCAGATTTCTGATAAGCATAAAATCTATGTCCCAATTGTTTATAAGAAATAAGTCCAGGTACACTGACAATGTTAATAGAAACAAAAGGATATTTATATTTGCTGGAAGTACAATAGATAAGGTGGCTCCGTGTCTAAGACGCTGAGCTTGGAGATCAGAAAGGTCAGCGGTTCGAATCCCTAGCGCCACGTAATGGAGTGAGCTCCTGTTATTTGTCCCAGCTTCTGCCAACCTAGCAGTTTGAAAGCACGTAAAGATGCAAGTAGAAAAATAGGAACCAACTTTGGTGGGAAGGTAACAGCATTCTGTGCGTCTTCGGCATTTGGTCATGCATTTGGTCATGCTGGCTACATGAGCCGAGGTGGCGCAGTAGTTAG